TCCCATAGGTGAAGTGAGAATACAGAGGTGTGCATTTAATGACCATATCCTTAACTTTCTTAGGTTGAGATACTTTACCCTTTTATCCTATTCCTTTTCTGCCATTTCTGCTAACTCCGTAGATCATTGAAGTCGTCTTACTTCTATATATGTTTTTAGAAAGAAATTTTTGAAAGCTATGATAATATTCCTTTATGATCTTATCAGAGTTACTAGGAACTTCTGAAACAATTTCTTTTCGAGCATTTTAAATTATTTTCTAGTTTAGAAATTGTTTCTTTCAGCTCTGAGTTATCTGATCTCAGTTTCTTAGTTTCTCCAGAGTCCTAAACTAGATCCTTTTTCAGGTTCTTGTTTATGACTCGAAGTTTCTGATATTTTTCAAGAATTTCTGACAGACTCTCTTCTAATTAAGATCTAGAAAAGTTAGATAATATCTCTTTTGCCTCTGAGTCTGATTCTGATCCAGATGATCCAGTGTCTTCTGATACATTGGCCATTAGGACTATGTTGGCTCGTTCATCTTCTAATTTTGTTTCAGCTTCATAAGAGTCCGAGTCATCCCATGTTGGCATGAGGCTTTTCTTCTTTTCCTTAATGAACTTCTTTTTAGGTTTCTCTTTTTGAAGATTTGGACAGTCGCTTTTGTAATGCCCATGTTCATTGCATTCGTAGAAGACAATGTTTGTTACTTGACTTTCTGTATCCAGAAGATGGTTCAGAATGATTCCCTGTTCTTCTGGAAGTTCTGAACTTCCTCTGCATATGCTTCCACAACCGATTGACTCTTCTGGAGAGAAGAGACAGTTCATCTTCTGATGAGGATCCACCAGAATTTACTTCTTTTTCCTGTAAAACTTTCTATTCATATTTTTTGTTAGATTTAAGAGCTAAAGACTTACCTTGCTTCTGGGGCTCATCTTCTTCTAACTTTATCTCATGATTTCTCAAGGAGCTGACAAGTTCTTCGAGAGAAATTTTGTTCAGATCTTTGGCCAGTTTAAGAGTTGTGACCATGGGTCTCCATTTCTTAGGTAAACTTCTGATGATCTTCTTTAAATGATCAACGGTTGACTACCCTTTATCCAGAACTTTTAACCCAACAACCAGAATTTGAAATCTTGAGAACATTGTTTCAATGGTTTCATCTTCTTCCATTTTGAAGGCTTCATACTTCTGAATGAGCGCGAGAGCTTTGGTTTCTTTGACTTGCATGTTGCCTTCATGCGACATTCTCAAGGAGTCAAACATGTGTTTTGCTGACTCTCTGTTTGTGATCTTCTCATACTATGTGTATGAGATAACACTCAAGAGAATAGTTCTGGCCTTGTGATGATTTCTGAATTCTCTCTTTTGATGATATGTCATTCTTTTTCTGTCAATCTTCTGACCGCTTTCATCAACAGGATGTATGTACCCATCAATCACCATATCCCACAGATCAACATCATGAGCTAGAAAAAAACTTTCGATTATGTCTTTCCACTAATCGAAGTTTTCACCATTAAAGATTAGAGGTTCGCCACTGATTATGTATTTCTCATCATGGTAATCATTGTTGATGTTCTAACTCGATCCCACCATAGTGTTTTTCTTGCTTGGATCTTTTTCTGACACGGTTAAGTGCTTGTATTCAGAACCATGCGCTCTGATGCCAATTGAAGAATGGAAAAACACAAGAAGGGGGGGTTGAATTGGGGTTTTTAAAACTTTAATTAAAAAACACGTCGGTTATCCCGATTCGTTTGAACTAAAACTACTCTAGTCCACCCGGCAAGGTGATTTTTCCTCTCTCAACGAGGTCTTAATCCACTAATCAAATTAGATTACACAGCTACTATGACAACCGTCAAAGTCTTCTTGAGTTTAAACCATAACCTGGTTTTCTCAAGGAATTTCACTATACAATATTTAAGAGAGTGTACAAAAAGTGTTATCTAATAAAATAGTATCACACAAGTGATGTACACAAATGAAATTCAGTATGTTGAAGGTGATGAAGATGAATCGTTTGTTGTGCACTCAAAAGCGTAAAACATTTCTCCTTCAAGCTTTGTTTATATAGGCAACGCATGTGGGAGCTTTTGGAATGTTGATAAATAGTAATTAAAGAGCTTTCCAAAAATAGAGATTCTTGTTCCCTTTCAGCAGTTACTTTTGAATAGCCATAAGTGATTTGTAATGCTTCAGAACATGCTTGCTTTAGAAGATAAAAGTTACCGTTACTTCTTTCCAAAACGTATGAATTAGAATAACGGAGTTCCTGTTTGCAGCGTTTAGGAACTCAGAAGTTGCAGCGTTAGAACTTCTTTATAAAAGATGTATTGAATCAAAGTTTGAACAATGATATAACTCATCTTCTATGCTTCTTCCATCAGAACTTCTCTGCAAAGTAATATATTTATTTATAGAGTATAATTGTTCTTTGAGTGATTGTTATCATCAAGACTCTTACAAGGGTTGTAGAATCAAACTATATTCTAACATATGAGAAACCGTGAAATCCACTTGGGGCATTAGAAGTCCAATTTCCTCTGAGAAAACTAAAACCCTAATTGTAGGCCATTTCTTAGGAGAAGGGTTCATCTGATCAATTCTTGAGTAGCCTTGAGCAATAAAAAATGGGAGGGGAAATTTTGGGGTACAACAATTGCCCCTGTTCAATCTTCTTAAATCTGAAGAGTTACATTGGCATGTCCGCTGTAATACCTCAAATTTGTCCTACCTTTTCAACAAATCATCGGGCTTATGCGTCTCTTAATCATCATGTACATAATCTTATTAGGTCATTTAACACATCATGCATCATTAATCAATAATTTGGCATGCGATCAGAGATCTTGAAGAATTAGGGTTTTATAGTGGTTAAGGCGTCAGTATCCAATATAGGCTGACTCCTTCTTCAAGCATTAAATAGAGGCTTAAGATTTTGATCTGTGGTCATTGAGATTTCTTTCTCCTTAAGCTATAAAGCTATTATTTCCATATCAGCAGTAGGCCACAAGGTTTTCCTCTTTAGAGCTATGAATCTAGGGTTTATATCCTATCATACTCAGGTTTGTCAACATTTTTACTGGATGTTTGATGGATAGAAAAACATGATAAAAGGAGGGTGTTGTGAATTCATTGTCATCAAGGGTATTATTGTTCTCAATTTTTTGATTGCTTGTATTGCAAGTTAGCTTGGATGCGAGAGTTGAAATTAAGATTTCTTCAAGACATGGTACTTTGTGAGGTCATTGGTTACCAAGTCAAAGGTTTATGGATTGAATTGCGAAATATTAAATCATGACTCAAGGGATAATTTTGTAGGTACATTGTTATACTTATAGCTCACAAGGGAAATGGATACCAATTGATTGATTTTGTTAATTGAAGATTGACTTAGAATTGTTCATTCGAGTTCACCATATCGCATTCCAAATTGAAGATATTTTCAATGGGAACTTTGACGAAGGTCTCTCTTATCCCTTTTGGGACTTTCATCATATTCATTCAATTGAAATATAAAAAGGGAAACAAAGATTAGAGAATTCAAACAGAGTGCAATGTTAAGAGGGAAACTTCAATTTTAAATTTTGGCTTAGTTTACAAGACACCACAAGGTCATTACAAAGATGCTACAACTCACAAACTATCAAGGAATTACAAATCGTATAACATTGCCTTTCATCATCGTGACATGTTCAAACACATTACTATCTAAATCTTTTCACTCATTCAAGTTCCAAGCAAATTCATTTACATCGTGTTGAGAAGATTACATGACAAAGAGAGGTTCAAGATTCAAATTCCTAATTCTAAACATGTCCTAATCTTAAATTTCATCAAATTTTCAACCCTTACCTAATTCCTTGCTTCATAATTGCAAGTTCACCAAAAAATCATTCCAAACACCAAAATACAATTTAAATTTCATCACATGTCCATATAGTACAATTCCATTTCATTACACACAATCATAAATTCCTAAAAGCTGCTAAGTCCCTAAACATTAGCCAATCTTCATAATCTTTCCACCACTTTGACTTCTTCTTTTGGCTTTGCTTCATAACCATGTGTGTGTTCTTCATAATCAATATTCATGCTTCATCCAAATTCGTGGCTAATCAGCTCAACATTATTCCAACTTGCTCCAGCCCTACCATAAAGAACAGTTCATCATTTAAACCAAGAAACAGTTCAAAACAGTCCACAGTATCAACGAAACAGTTCATCACAAAACTATTGTCACTACGTACCAAAGCAGCCTTATCCCAATCAGTTTGAATGCCAATGAACATGCTATCAATAGAATTACGCCGACCCTGCATTTTATCCATATTAACATAAAAATCAGAGGAAATTAAAGCCTTTAAAATCAGAAAATGAAAACAGAAAGTTAACAGAAAGTTAACAGAAAAACTAACAGTTTCTATCTAACTGTCAGTTCGCCTATAAATGTCAAAACAGAATTCCACACTTTTCTAACAACCTCCTAACCACTTCCATAACTAACTTCTAACTGACTATTCCAAAAAGGGTTGAACCCAGAAAACTCAAAAATATAGAAGAGAATGGTGAAGTCCGAAACAGTAAATCAGAGAAGGAAAAGTATCAGATATGTCAACTCATTGAATTCAGACCATAACAGAAAACAGTTTCCAACCTTCCTAACTGTTAACAAAACTTAACCAACTAACAGAACTCCAACTTCCAAAAAGAGAAACTTCAAACACTCTCTAACAGATTTTTTCTATCCTCTAACCAACCCTCTAACGTTCTAACAGATAATAGAAAGAGGAGGGGAGAAGATTCACAATGCATTCATAACAGAAAAGAAAGGAGGAAGATTCAAGATATAACATAAAGGTTAGAGGAAAAAGGAAAAATACAGAGAAACTCACCTTCATGGATTCGATCTTCATCAATTCGCACAAGAATCATCACCACTAAATCAATTATCGGCATCCACTTTATTCTTCTTTTCTGTACAACAAAAAATTCACCACTTTTAGACAATCACAAAATCCTCTACAACTTCACCTTTCCACTCTCACATTCATATGATCCACCATTCTCGATTTCTCTCCCACACCATAACCTCCATTTTCACCTTTCTTTCTGAATTCATGATTTATTATTCAGAACACAGAAAAAAAGATTATTATTCAACACAGAAAAAATTCGCAGGATTCATTCACCAGAAAAATCACAGGAAACTGACCGGAATTCATTACTTTGATATCTCTCTGAAAATCACCTTCAATCTTCATCCTCAACCTCCAACGAATCTTCTCTACAATCTCTCTTTAACTCTCTCTGAGTTTATCTGCACTTGAATCATTATAATCGTCTGCAATTATCCTATCTCCATCAGCTTCACCTTTCAATAACAACACGCGCAATCTACTTCTCTCTTATTTGCATCGTCATCATCTTCACAACCGCAACGTCTTTTTCTTTAAGCTTCATCAACGATTCGAAGCTCTTCTCCAACGCAAACGCACACAATCATAAAACCAAAGAAAAGTGAAAACAGTGAGGAAGGGATCAAGATGAAGCGAACAAGAAAGAAGAGGAAGAAGAGCGTTCACGAGGGAAAGCATACCTTTCGGTTTCCATCACCTTCATCAAAAGCAAAACTGAAGCCTACAGCAGAAACGGTCATGCAAAGACGTGGAGACGGAGATAGGTGAATGACGATTGAGCCGTTGAGGCGACGCGATGATGAAGGAATCCGAATCTGAGATGAAAGGGAGTTGGCCGCTCCATTTACAAGGGTATAAGAAAGGAGAACGGATATGATGAATAAAAGCATTCAGTCACAGTGTTCGTGAAGGAGGAGGTTAAAGGGAAACGATAATAGCGATATGGAGTTCGTCGGAGTGTTCAGTTGCCGGCGTCGCTGGCTGAATGATAGGGATGTGGGAAAAAGACGAAGGTTATATGAATGAAGATCAATCGACACTTCTGAACCCTAAACAAAGATCAAACGCACCATACCCAATTTAATTGTCATGATTTTTGTTTTTTTTACTTATAATAAAGATAATGAAGTTGATGGTGGTAATTGCATTGGCTGATAGATTTGTTTTGTTGGTGGATGGGCTGAATTGGTTATTCCTTAGGCCCATGGATTTTTTTGGCACAAATTGATTGCCTTGCAAAAATAATCCTTGTGGATTCAAGTTGATTGGGCCTTATGTCTCTTATACGTCACTCCTGATCCAGAATTTCACCACCTTGGTGTTATTTATTTTCAACAATGTCTCTTACTTGTTTCAAGATTTTTCGTCAATTATTATGGGTGATATTGCGAAACAAAAAGGGCCTTGAGTGAAGAGTTTCAAGAAGTTTTGGATTTAACTAAGAGCATAATTTTTTATCAAGGAAATTCAAGGAGATTTTCTGTAGAGTTTTCTCTTTTCTTGCGTGGCTTTGAAGAGGCAATAGACCTTCTACGTTATGTACCATCGTGACTTTGTTTTATTCCTCATTTATCACATTTCTTTACTGCTTCCTAGGTATCATGAGAAATAAGTACTTTACTGCTTTTTGATGCCATGAGAAGTAGGGTAGAGATGTATGAAGGGGATCTCTGTTACTGATCATGTCAGGAATCCCTCTGGTTTATTTAAAGTCCCGTTTAAGGAAATCCCACATTGTGTGCATTCTGTTTGTTACTTGTGTGTGGTTTTTTTTAAACACTGCCTTTGAGTAGGTATTCTGCAGATGTGTTTACATTTGTGCTCGCACTATTCCCCCATCCCTTATTGAAGTCTTCAAAAGGAGGCGAGCGGGGAGAGTTCGCAATTAACCCCCTCAATTTTTTCTGTGTCATCCTTAGCCTGTGACGCACCACGATTCTTTGGAGTTGTGCCTGCTCATGTATATCGATTCGTCAAGTGGGGAAGGGTTCCGTAATCGATCCCCCACGCTTTGTCAAGAGTTCGCATTGGTCGATGCTGATACTCTGTGATTGTTCATGTTGTCTTCTTTCACCTACCTTGATCTCCTATATCTCGGTTAGGTGTCAGTCGCTTTGGACATCACATTTTTGTTTTACATCTTATTCCCGCTTGTTTGTCTTGGGTGATACGCTCCCCTTGACTAAAGCGTTTAGCTTCTTTTCCTTACTATTTTATGTGTGTGATATTTAGAGCTTATTTGTTTTACCCTTGTACATACCATGTTCCCTTAGGATGTACTTGTTCCTTTCGGATGCAAGTTAGACTTTATGTTGCAATCCATGCATGCTAACATTAGATAGAGATTTCCCTTTCATCCTTGACGTAGGGCTACCATTGTATGATAACATTAGGTTAAAAATAGGCTAGTCTCCCTTAGACTCTTTTCTTCCCTTTTTTGCATATGCATTTAAAACTAAAAAAATTTCTTAGCAAATTAAAAACACTCTAATAACACTTAAACTCTTTTTCAAGGTAACAAAATACAAACCAACTCAAACCTTTTTATGCGCCCAAGCACCTTTTCTCTAAAACCATTTTTAGGTAAGGACATAATTGATTTAATTATGTGTCAATGCGTGAGTCTCCAAAGGTTGAGCTGCGGCAGAAGGCAGAATTAACATTGTTCATAAAAAACACAAACAAACAAAACATGATAGCCGAACTACGGTAACTCTGATTCCTCAAAAAAGGATACGTAGGCATTGGGGCAGGGCTCAAGCGAGTACAACTTTATTTTCTCTATATTATTTTCCCCTATCTTTTGCATGATTCTTCCTCAGTAATAAGCAATAAGCATAGATTAAACACACCCATAAGATAGATAACAAGAGTGGATATCATAAAGTACTACGGACGTGTGGGTGTTAATACCTTCCCCTTGCATAATAGACTCTCTTAACCGATCTCTCGGTCACAAGACCGTGACTTCTCCCTTTCTAGGTTTTCTCGATGTTTACCTTTTCCTTCATGTGGAATAAGAGAAGTTCGATGGCGACTTCATTAATTGATGATTTTCAACCGATTTTTTCAGCTAGCGACTTCAATGGGGATAGGTTGACCAATTGGTAGTCCATCTTGGAGTCGCTCTTAGCTCTTGTTTTCTTTTCTTTGGGTGTTTTTTTATGCTTTCAGTTTATTCATCCATATATGATTACCTAAGCATATGTATGCATTGCATTTTACTGTTTTCCATACACTACTATTGTGCTGGATCTGCTTCTTGTTGGGTGGGGGTTACTATAAGGTAAAAGGCCCAATACCTAGGCCAGAGTTGTATACCACTAGGAACACTAGAAATAAAGTGGAGAGTCATGACGGAAGATAGGTGTATGCCCTATCACCATCCGATCATGAAGCCACTGTCAGTTGAGGTTCAAGTGAGGTATCGTCAGCATCACGGATGTGCATGATGATGATACTTTCAGGTGACCTATAATTCTGATTATCCATGAGCTTACCTTGACCTAGTTTACCCGTGAGTGGGGAGGGGATAATCTTCATAGGTACTTTTTGTGACTAGTTTGGTTGGTGACTATTCAAATAGTAACTATATGTTCTATTGGTAACCATATGGTTCTCGGGTTTATTTTTTGAGTTCCTGACTTGTTTATTTGGAGGTTCGTTTGGGCCTTCGATCTTGGTATTCCCAACATGTTTAGAAAAGGCTCAACAGTAGCCGGTGTTCCAAAAGCCTTGATCCCATACAAGTGATGATCTGCATGGTACTTGGTTCTTGTAAGTGCGGAAGTTATGTCGGACCTTTGATCTGATAATATCCATATGATTCATAACAATTCAGTAATCGTGTTCATAAATGATGGAACTTTGATCCCATGTCTTTGCATACATAACATGGTTAACCACATGCATAACATACATGTTCTATTATTTCCAGGGAATCATATTTGTAAGTCTTGTGTTGAAATTTTCCATCCCTTACCTGCGTAAAATCAAAATCAAATCATATAAATTCCTTAGAAATAAGGGAACATGACATGGCATCCACTCATGCACCCCATGCACATGCATGCATTCATAACAGGTACTCGAAGATTGGGGATTCTTATTCAGACATGGTGTTCTCCTCAGAGGTTCAACTTGATTTCTTGCTTCACATGTTTAGAGACTAGTATGGGATGACTCCGTGGGGGATTGACCGATACAAAAATCTCGATGGGATTAGTTGTGGTATACTTAAAGCTTTGGCTCGTGGTCGAGAATTCTTCGAGAAGGAAGATAATTGATTGAAGACTCTGATGAGCCAGGTCATGGAAGCTCTGATGATGATATCAACAATTCTACACCTATTGTTGTAGCAGGGTTCCATCTTCATCTCGTCTTTTGGGGATTGCTTTCAACCATGGAATGCTACACAATCTTGAGTTCTTTGAACATCTTATCAATAGATGGTTCCCATTTACTGTGTGAATTCAAGAAACTTGTTCTACCAACGAGATTAGAATACGCCTGAAGAATATATGATCTTATGTCAGTGCTTCATTCTCATTGGTTTCCACACTTGTTTGAGCTTCAGTGGGTAAGACCCCGTACTTCGGTACCGTTTATAAACTCCCTTCCAGATCATGATACCAACGTCATATGTGGTTACCACACTAGGGCATCCAACTATTTAATCAGGGGCACTCTCTACAACTTTGTGTTCCCTGATTTGTTCGACAGTATCTAGTCTTTGTTCCCCAGGGGAATTCATAGGGAAAAGCTTTTAAACAAAGACATAAGAAGCTTGATGAGCATGTTGATATGATCCCAGCGCATTACATCTAGTTATTTCCTTGCCTGGTGGAAGTTCAATTGGTAAAGCTCCGACCTTTGGGGTCCACCTCTGTGATCGGTGGATCTGGAACTGACTGTTTAACGCTGGTTCGCGAAATGTCGCGGAAGCAAGAGTCGCCACTGTCTTTTATTTTCTCCAAATGGAAAGGACAAAAGCACAGAAAAATTCCTTAAAGAGATTGCTCTCGGTTCGGGAGGTAGATTATAGAAAGGGAAGGTGTTAGCACCCTTTCTATCCATGGTTATCCATGGGCTCTTAGATACTTTCTCATTGTGTTTTCAAAAATGGTTTGTTTGCTTTTCAACTGTGGGTTTTAAAAAGTTTCTTTGAAAATTTCAGTTCGACTCTTGTATCGGTCCTCAAGAGTGTTTGAAAAATGCTTTCAAAAGCTTTTTGAAAAGGTGTCGGTGTGAAAAGTATTTTTTGATTTGTTTTGAAATTAGAGCAAGTATCCACGAGAACCTACCTACCCTAAGGAATTCGTCTGTGTAGATGTCCTTTAAAGTAGTGCCATCCCACCATTGAGAGGTAGGTAGCACCACCGTTGGAGGTGTTCGGGTCAATTCGAGGTTCGGGACATGGTGATCACCAGAGCAATGGGAAGACACCTTAGAAGCTACCCTCATGCCAGGTTCCCGGATCATGAAGACTTACTAAGACATCCTCTACTCGACGATCACCTTTCGAGGCAAGGCAACAGTGAGGCGTACCCTAGGGGTGGTGTGTGAACTTGTGTGTCGTTTTCAGATATTTTTGTCTTTTGTCATGTTATTGGTGATCTAGCGTTTGTTTTTATTTTTGTCCATACATTCTTTCATGCCATTATTTAACAGTTAAAAATTGCGAGAAGGTAAAAGATTCTAAGCTATTACAAAAGGCGCGGGTCCACATCGCCAAAATTTCTTGAACCCGATTTGACAGAAAAAATAAATAAAGAAATAAAGAGTGCGAGAAAGTTAATTACAAGGCTTCGCGAGAGATACAGAAATATTATAAAGAAATAAGATAAATATGCGAATAAGAATTAAAACGAGGGCGTTGGACCCTTTTTGC